AATTATTTTATCAAAAGTTAATTTAATTGATGCCGTATGAACTCCAGTTTAAGGATATTAACACATTTTGATATATTGAAAAGAAAATGGTATTTTCTTTTTTACTCAATTCGTACTTTAATAGCAGAATCTGCTATCGCAGTACGAATGAACATCAGAGTTGAAACCTTTGGAATCCGGAATCTCGGAACGTCTGGAATCCGGAATCCATAGGCATGGAATCCGGAATCCAGTCACCGGAATCCGGAATCCAAGATGTGGAATCCGGAATCCAAGACCCTCTTGGATTCCTTTACATGGGGCGAGAGGAAACTTTATTTCTGAAGAGAGCAAAGGCAGTGTTAATAGAACCTGACAGACTTGAGATAGTTGTTAGTTCAGTTCACAACATGCTCCATCCCGCAGTGTTTCTCTTCAAAATTTCGATGTGCAGCTCTTTATGTTCCTTGGCAGTTCAAGCCAAGCTGTCTGCAGACTGCACCTTTGAAGAGGTGAAATCGTGGCAAAGTGCTCATAACACATCAGCTGTACCGATACAGCTTAACGGACAGCTGCCTTACTTTAAAAACGTCATCCATTCCTGTCTAGTGCAGACAGACAATCGAAACAGTTTGATGTATTTGAGGGCTAAAAGAAACAAAGAATCGACAGGTGAGGCCGTCGTATTTTTACGTACACTTTCCTAAGTGCAGTCCGCGCGACGTGTGACCCCGCTATCTGTAGCTGGATTCTACTGAGCAGTGAAATCTTCTGCCATATTGTAATCGCTTGTCCGATATCTCGCCTCAGGGCTATTCCGTTGTAAAAGTTTCAATGTGTGCATATGAGAAGATAAGCACGACCAATTTACTGACAGTCGGTTCTCCAAGACTCTCGTTAACGAGGCGAGATAGGAGAGCTTGAATTGACTTTAATGGACGCTACTTCACGGCTACAGGGACAGATAAATGGCTTACCCTCTGCAACAGAGAGACTCGGGAATAGTTTGTTACCTTATTACTAGCCTGCGTGGCAGGCGTTCAAAGTGGAAGAAGAGTGGAAAACTAGAGACGCGGCGACACGTTTATTTCGCGATTTTTAGGTGCGCATATTTCGCGACACAATTCTTTATTACCTTGGCAATGTTACTTTCAAGTTAACATATCCCTGAATTTAGTAAACCGACTTTTTTAAGGTACAATAACGTCAAAAAGGAGTCTGAGCAAGTTTTCAGACCAATTGGAGTCCGGAACAGATCTAGACAACAGCGAAATTCCAAGGTAAAATGTAAATTCCTTTTCTGCTAGGCGTCGTCCTTGGTGTCGCTGTCGTCAATGCCTAAGTTCAATTAACAAAAACGCAACGGCGAGACTTTATGTCAAGAGTAACGACTAAACAGTTCTCACAATGTCCACAAGTAGCTCATACTTGTACGTGAATGCCTTGTTTTCACTCTTTCTTGATTATTGACTTAATTTTAGTCACTTTTCGCGTAATGTTGTGTTGAGCTTCGTGGCCCTTATCGAGATTTATTTTTACGTGTCACAGAAATTTCATGTAATGAAGTATTTCATGACTGTTGTTTTCAGCTTTAGACAGTTGGTGGAAATCTGTCGCAACTGCGTGTTTATGTAGCATTAGATGACTGAGTCTCCTCTAAATTTGTACACACAATTAAGGAGACGTTGCCAGAGCAAGCTTGTAAAAAAGCAATGGCAATGCCTAACTAACGTCAGTCACTACTTGAACTCTCGTACGTATACCTCCACATGCATATAATGGTGCTATATGCTAACTTCTTTGTTATCCAGTTCCAGAGTTGTAGCGTTACACGAGCCAACCGCGAGTCCAAATCAACCTCGAGTCACGAGTCAACATCGAGTCAATCACGAGCAGTGTTGGAGACTAAATTTAAACAGCCCTCGCCCTCTATTCGGGCTAGTCTGCGAGCAGGCTCACCTTTGAGTCGCGCGAGAGGCGGCGAAGAGGCGCTAAGACAGTGACGTTTCCTGCTCGCAGGCTACATTCGGGCGAGTGACTCTCAAAATCCACTCGCCCGGTGTAATTTTCACTCGCCCAGAAAGATGCCTCCCCTCCCAAAAAAATCTTCGCAATGATTCACAAACCATGTTTTTTTTTATCTCGTAATCACGGACGCCCAGCTTGCCATTTCGTGTTGAGCTTTCTTGTTGTGGTCCATTTAGGCATTTACGAGACGCTTCCTTAGGATCGCGGACCGATTGTAATGTTTTGGCCTCGTTTTTATTATCAACTTTCGACACTCCTTGAAAATGTTCCTCGGCTTATCTCTCCAAACTGAAAACAGCTAAAGGAACTGCTGGCGCGGCCGGCACCACCGTACTGGCAAATATCCATAGAATCGAGGCATTGGAGAACACAACTTGTCGGCACGTGGAAGACTGACGATTTTTCTTTCTATTTTCAGAGTAGTTTCTACTTCAAGATGAATGTTCATGAATTAATGCCGGCTCAACTTGAGACCATGCAGTATCCCTTCATAGACCTGTAACCGTAATGTAAATTATCACTGGACGAAGCCGTATTTCGTTTTGTCTATTTAGGAAACGCGAACATAGAGTACTGTATTCTATTGGCAAATTATTTGGGCATCGCAACCGCCAGCTACGCAGGCTACACAAAATTAATCCTGCACTTCATGATCATGATCGATGTTACTGGTGAGATAAATGCCATGACTGATATTTTGTTTTCGTTTGTCTTGTCAGGATCCTTGCATGTGTCAGTGTACGGAGCAGATGAGTCCTCCTTGGGACATCTCGGCTAGACATTTTACAGTCTTTATTTGATCAGAGTGGTTTGCCTGTTTGCCCATATCGTTCATCGAATGAAGTCAATGAAAACTATTTAACTTTTTCCGGAACGCCTGGTCTTAATTTCACTCTAGAAATTGCCCAAGTAGAAGACGTCAAACTAGGTGAGACAAGGCCTTTCACATTAAGCCCGCGTGATCCTGTTCGTGTCTTTGAGTTCGTCCCAACTGAAGATATCTCAGGCACTCAACTTGATGTTACTGTCACTTCTGACTCAACTGACGTGCCAGCTTATTTGAAAGTATCACGTGTTTGCAAGAATGTCGAAAAGGACAATGTTGACGAAGTGGACCACAAAGGTGAGTCAATTCGTCTTTCGTTTGCAAAGAAAGGACGGATTACTTTGTCCAAGGTCTCTGTTCCTCCCTTGACTGATTCCACTTCCAGCTGGTTTGTTGGAATTGCAATTAAGAACGCAACAGGAGAAACACGGCTTGGTGAAACAAAGACTGTAAATTTAACTTTGACAAGATCGTTTGATTACTCATACTCTAGACCCTTGTGGATTTTAGCATTATGTATCTCTCTCGTTTTGGGTGTTGTTGTGTCTTTGTGGTCTTGGTTTAGTTTTAGAGAATGTCGGTGCAGGTCTCAGTGCACTGCTTCAGCGGAGACTGACCTAATTAATAGCACAGCAGTACAATTGAGCTGGGGGGAGTTCTTTTCAGCCATGTGGAACGTTATATCTAGTTATTCGTTTGGTCGGGGTTCTAAGACTTACTCTTACATCACGTTTATTGTGGGTTCAGTTTTGATGGTGGGTGAACGTCAGTTTGTCTTTGCAAACTGGTATGTAATGATTCACGAGGGCGATAGAGATAACTGTTATTACAATGATTTTTGTTATCGAGTAAGGTACTTTGTTATTCCATACAATTTAATGATAAGTAACTTAGCGTACATCTTACATGGCCTAATCTTAATTGTTAATGTTTGGTGCATGGAGTCAGAGCTGCTTGCCGGGTGTAGAAAACGTGCTACGCGGGAAAGAGCACGACAGAATGACAATCAGAACCTTGAAAACGACGATGATTTAGAGCTGCGCGCTGAAAAGCACAAAGAGAAGTTTACTTTCACCATAGGTTACGCTTTTGGCTGGGCACTGACTTTCGAGGGATTATTTTCATCGCTTTATCACCTTTGCCCAAGTAAGTTAACGTTCCAGTTTGATACAGCTTTCATGTTTGTTATTGCAAGTTTGATTGTTGTTTTGTCATATAATGGCATTGACAATCAGGAGTGTTCTGGGAACATAACAGCAAAAAACCAAGTGGCAGCGGCAAATTTGTTCCTCTACTTTTTGGCTCCGCTTTTCATTTTTAATTACCTGAACACAATCCATCATTCCGAGGCAGGGCTGACGATGTCTATAGATATACCGTTTTTGTTCTTTCTGGTATTGTGGGTTGTGCTCATGGCATGGTGGGCAGGATGCAAGCTTAAGCTTTTTCCTGAGAGATGCTCGTGTAAGAAGGAAAGATCCCGTAATGAACCAGGTATAGCGGGAAGCGAAGGATCCGAACAAAAGTTAGAGAGGGTAGCAGTTTTTTTTTTATTGCATAGGTTTGTTTGTACTAATCATTTTTGTTATCCTCTTGGCAACTAAAGTTATGCACTTTCCAGAAACCTTTTTATTCACTTGTATCTGCAAGACTGTAGTTGTCGTTGTAGGCAAAGGAGTTGCTCCGTTCTTTGAGGACTGCTGCTGTAAATGTCAATGTAGATGTACACCACGAAACTGTTTCGTATCGCAGGTAATCTATGCATTGGCAACAATGGGCGTTTGGATTGCTGCATTGGTGTTTTTCGTTGGTGGAAAAACAACAGATAAAGTGAAAACTCCTGAGCAATCCCGTGATCTAAACCAGGAATGCTATTGGTTGGATTTTTTTGACAGCCATGATATATGGCATATTCTTTCTTCTTTTGCATTGCTAATGAGCGCTTTTTTAGCGCTACATGCACATGCTCCAAATGCCTGTGAAAATGGAAAAACTGAAGCTAAAGGTAATACGGGTTCAAATACCGGTGAAAAGGGTGAAACCCAGGAAACTGGAGCTGAAGGTGAGATGGATTCATCGACACAACAACTAATACAGTTTACGAAATGAGAAGTTACCTGAAAGTAAGTTTTCGGTATCAATAACTTTGAAACACGACAGCCTATAGCTACTATAGTGACCGTGAATCTCGGCAAAAGAAGTAAAACTACCAACCGTGTAAAATCTGTTGTATTACTGAACCAGAACCCAAATGAGAGGCTTTCCAAACTAAGACGAAATGGAAACTTTATGGGTTAGAAAGGACGCCAACTCTTTTGTAAGAAGTAAGCAACAACACAATGAAGTTTCCTGGATTGTTTGTTTGGCAATAATCCCTGACATAGTCACCGGTCAGTTTTGATTAGATACTTGTTATCTGCTATTGAAAGCATGTTTCTCGTTTTGTTTTACACAACATACAGTCTGAAATGAAAGCAGGAGTGATGAAAATTTTGCAATGTTTAATTTCCATTCTTTTAGTATTTAACGTGTTCCCACCAGTCGGGCCCGGATAAGAATTCACCTCCTCTCCGAGACCTGTGCTTATTATAGCACAACACTACATTCTCTAGGATCCAAGTGTGTAAAATGATTCATCTGACGAAACGTTGTTAAGAAAGTGCTAATTGGGGCGGAGTGGTAGTTCTATCGAGCAACATTGTATGGACCGATTGCTTGGCTGGGGGAGAGGGGAGGGGAGGGAAGGCTAATCTTTCGTCGACCGTTTCGCGATTTTGTCTCTCTTGTTCTGCGTATAGAAAAGTCTACCTGGAGCAAGTCTAATTTAACTTCCATTCACCGTTAGTATCGAGTTAACTTCATTTATATCCTGTTTGAAGTTACTTACACCATCTGATGTCTAGCAGCATACCTCCTACTAGGCCGAAGAAAGAGGAGCCTCCCCCCTTCCCCATATAGAATCCTTCAAACGTTTCTACATTCCTTAGACATCGAGTAAGATCAGTAAAAAGTGTTTGAGCAGAATTTGTTAAGCTGAGCCAGGGAAGGGTGGTGTGAGACACTTGCTTAACTCCTGTCTCCTGTTAAAACATTTAATCTCCTCTTTAGGTAAAATATCATATTTAAAAGTACACCTCAAACTAGGGTGCTCCCCCCTAGTTTAAAATCTTCGATGAAATTTCGCTTTAAAGCTACATGTATGCAAAAATTTCTCTCTACTGTGCATTTTTTTTTTTTATCTATTAAAGAACGTGTATTTTACAATATGTTTTAGAATAGTCTTGATAGCTTGTATAAAAGGAGGTTTCTCATTTGCTTGTATCAACTGAGATGTAGTTATAGATTTTTATATGAATTAACGCATATTTCAGTGGTACTGCTAACTAAAAAGATACAAGAGTATATTAAAGAAAGTAATGTAGATTTTCGTGTAACGATTTCAGTAGCTTTATTTAGAAGAACGTTACTGAGATATCTAGTCCTATACATTACTGGTATTTAGTTTCTAAGGCTTTAAAACACCAGGAAAGATATGTCTGATTTTTGCCTTATAACCCTGCTGATATGCAATAAAATGTATTTGCAAAAGCAGTATATTTTTTTTTCTTTTGAGTGGTATGCCAATTTTTATTATTATTATTAGCACTATTTTCTTGATTATAGTGCATTGTCCCATAACACCACGGCTGTTCCTAAAGAATCGTTTTTTTCTCGGGAAATTAGCCTTGTTCGCGCAGCTAGTTAGGGAGGGGCACAAAGTAAATTGATTACAAAAACAATTGTTAAGAGTACAAGGATGACAACTGGCCAGTGTATAAATACTGGGATATACAGTGTAAACCAGGACGACAAAACACGACAGCACGAAGCATGAAGAAGTTGAAAAAGAGGTCACTTGATCCCACAGTGGAAATAGAATCTGACTTCAATTCAATCCAAAAGGTAGCTTCTCTCCAATCAGACCAGCTTTTAAATTCATCAGAACCGCTTCCATCATTTTCATTCTTGTGCCAGCAGTTGCGGAGCCAAAATGAGGCGTCAATGTTACATTAGACAGTTTTAACAAAGGATGGTCTCTGGGAAGAGGCTCTGGTTCTGTCACGTCAAGAGCAGCGGCTCTTATTACACCATTCTGCAGTGCATTGGTCAGGTCAGTATGATTGACAACCCCCCCACGTGAGATATTGATCAGTGTTGCTGTTGGTTTCATCAAAGATAACTCTCTTGTTGTTATCATATTTGTTGTTTCTGATGTGAGAGGGGTGCATAGCACTACAAAGTCTGACTGATACAGAAGATCGTCCAAAGTACTGCAGTACTGAGCACCTACAGTGCAAGAGGTCCAAGAATTCATGAAATTTGTATCTTGTGTAATATCAATAGAATCACAATGGAAGTTACTTTGGTAAACCAGTTTAAACCAAAATCACTTAATATCAGGCAGAATTGCTTCGGAAAGGACCACCCTAATATAATTAAACAAAGATGTCTATCTATCCAATAGTTTCTCCCTAGGTTAAAGATATCTTGCAAGCCAATGTCATCAAACCTTTTGCACATTATATTAGCACCTAAGAAGTCCAACACAGACAATTCGAGTGTAAGGAGCAAAGTGACTTTGCCCTGACGAAGGACCAATGCTTGGATTGTCAGCTTTGACACAAACTCAAGGCCTAGAGTTGACACAAAAAATTGCAAGCTTTTTTCAAGGATTTTTCAAGGTTTTTAAAAATTTGTTTTTTAAGGACTCTTGCCAGAATGTAATTTTACAAGTGGCAATAGAAATTAACATATACATGCACCTTCCAAATTAGCAGGTTTTCAAGTCCACAAGTATTCGCTCCATTTCATTACACACAAGAGCATGAAAACACAAATGAACATTGGTCAGTTTGGTTTTGGCTGGCATTTCAACTTCCTTGTGATGTAATATACTTATATTCTGAAACATTTTTAGTTCAATGGAGAACAAAACAGTGAAGTACAAGTAAAGTATCAACTCACCAAATTGTTTCTCCTCAACTTCTTTCCTGTTCCTGTTGTGGTAGAGAATTTTCATGTCAAAGCCAGTGGCTCGTTTTGCCAAAGCACATCCAATCCTGCCCAGACCAACAATTCCAATAGTTGATCGACTAACCTTGCTGCCAAAATAGCCATGCAAGTGAATAAACTAAAAAAAAACAAAAGAAAAAACGAAAGCAACAAATGGAGACGTGGTCGTCTCAAGGTTGGTACAGACACCTCCAGTTCAAGCGGTCCGGGTTCAAGCCCTAGCTGGGGTTATTGTGTTGTGTTCTTTATCTCATACAATAACACCCCTTGATCTTTCCTACTACCGCAGCACTTGGACTGGAGAGAATGTGTAGAGTGTGAGCGTGTCAATTTTGATACCAAGCATTGCAAGTATTGCTTCCCAAAGGGCCACTCTGATACAATTGGACAAATGTGTCTATCTTTCCAAATACAGTGGAACCCCGTTAATACGGTCACCAACGGGTCATGGGGTAGGGTCAAATTTCATGACTCGGGTCTATTTCAGGTGATGTCTTAACAGAATTATGCCACAATTACACTTCTGTTAAGAACTGGCCTTTTTAAAATAAGCATTCGAAATGCAGATATAACTTCTAAAAAAATCAAACTTCAAAAACATACAATATTACACATGTAACCACGAAAAGATGAACATAACTGGTTTGAGTGGCTATTATAGGATTATACAGATTGGGATTTCAGAATGTGGCTGTTGGCCATATTAATAGGGTGGCTGGATTAACAGGGTTTTCAAAAAGACTGACTGCAATAACAAGGTGGCCGTAGGGTAACTGTAAGGCGGGGTTCCACTGTAGTTTTTTCCCAAGGAGTGGCAGAATATTTTAAAGACAACTTACAAGCTAATGTCATCAAACCTTTTGCACATTATGCTGCCTAACATTTTTTGAGGTTTTTTAAGTGAAGCAAAGCATTATGCAGGCATTTTAGTAGCCTACTAGTAACAAGAAGGGTTCAGCAGTTTTAGGTTTCAAGAGTCAAAAGCTTTTCAGAAATTATTATTAATACCACCAGAGCTTGAAATAATTTTTATCATGTGATGTGACATGTGTCCTTTCAAATGTGCAGTTCCAGAAAATATCCATACTCCCCCCACAGAAGGGATTGGAGTTTCCTGGGGGGTGGGTGGTTCTGGAAGACCAAAAAATTTAAAGAAATGTATGAAGCTTAAGTGGAATTTCCAGAGGGGTGGGGAGGTGTTAGAAAAAATCCCTTCTGTGGGGGAGGTATGGATATTCTCTGGAACTACACAATATATACCTTGGCCACACATATTGGCAATTTGGTAGGATGTTAATTAAGTATCATTTGCATACACAAACAATCTAATGACTCAGTCCTCAGGCATACGCATCCTTACAACCATTTGAGACCCATTGGAGAGTCCTTAGGGATGGACTATGATTTTTGATGGGGGGGAGGGGTGGGCAAGTTCCTGCACAGCAAAAACTGCTAAAAAACAAATCATTCAAGGGGAGCCATGGAGTAAAAAAATGAGCTAGTACTTTCTACTGTACAGATTCTGTGTTTGACTTAAAAAGAATTCTTGCACAAGCTATTGCCCACCGAAAAAAATCATGCACAACCTAAAGGTGAGAAAATTGCCCAACCTCCCCCTCAAAAAAATAATGGTCCAACCCTTAGTATGCAAAAAGTGATTTGTCACGCAATCATGGAAAACATAGCGTGACCTACCACTGTAACTCGAAGCAATGTGTGGTCGTGAACTGCCTTAATGGGCAGCCGCATTCGATACCAATCTTCCGATAGGATAGTAATTGTAATGTTTTCACTGAAGTGAAGCGTACCTGCTTTGTTTCAGGACTTCTGGCAATTCTATCTCCCTCGACAACGTTTCTAGCAGAAGCCATCAAAAGAGCAAAACCCATATCGGCCGTACAATCATCGACAGCCCCTGGTGTATTCCCAACGGCGATTCCACGCTCACTAGCTGCCGCAATATCGATATGATTAACACCAACACCGCAGTTACTAATAACCTTCAGATTAGGTAATAAGTCCATCAACTTTGCGTCGATGTGACAATGTTCCGGCGTGTAGTGCACCAAACCTTCGACTCTCTGGACGAGCTCATCACTTAGTTTTGAGATTTCAGCCGGATCAACTACGACCATATCGAAGTTAGCTTCATCTTCATCTAGTATTTGTTGTAGTTCAGGGGGAAGTGTGATAGCAGGAATGCGCACTATTATAGGTCTCAAATGTGTTGCCATCGCCAAATCGTTGCATGCAAAGTCTAACAGCGTTTTTTCCGCTCTTTCCTACAATTCATTGTAGTTCCCAGACCACGTCAATGTTAGTGACGTCACCATTAGCCATTTTTACACGATCTCTCCTCACCTTTATTCCATTGTCCCTTTGTGTCTTCCTGCTGGTCGAGGGAGTCAAATAGGCGATATTCAGCATAAGAGTATGGGCCGGCATGTTTGTGAATGAATTTTAGGGGCTATGGAGTTGTTTACTTTTGGGGCAAGGGTGATAAATGATGGCAGGGGTAGGGGAGGGTTAATGCCCTCCCATGCATAGCTAAACGCCAAAGTATACTGCCCAGGCGTGGAAATAGAAGATTTGGTTTCGAAACGGACGTCAAAGGTGAAGCATGCATAGTAAAGCACGTTTCAGCGACTTATTCAGTTTGTCAGCTGGCTTAATCAGTTTCAGTACTCCGCGAGCACCACGCGATCTCCCTATGTATTTAACAAGACATCGGGTGTGTACAGACAATGTTCCTCTGATTAGATTATATCAAACCTCGTGAATGTGAGGCGCAGGTGACGATATCCCGTCTGAATCATGCAGAATCTTTCCTCCAACGGGTCCGATTCATCCTTGAGTACCGACGATTGTCTCTTACCAGTGGCTCACACATTTGCTTTGATTCCCATCAATATCTTGTCAAGTATCATTGGAACCATCGGTAACGCATTGGTGATAGCGACAGTTTACACGAACGCGAGTATGCAGATCATATCTAACTTTTGGTTAGCGAGCATGGCCGTCGCCGATTTAATGGTCTCCTCCCTGGGCCAGCCTTTGCTAATAGTGTTCTGGGGATTGCAGCTGAGTGACGATTGCAACGAGCCCGTGTCAGAGACGTTTCGTCTTATTGGCAATATGTCGTGTTCGGCTTCGGTTCTTCACTTGTGTTTTATCAGCATTGATCGTTGCATTCTGATTGTCCGACCCCTTGATTGTAAATCGATTCGCACCATGAAGAGGTTCAAGATTGCCCTCGTCATCGCCTGGACGGTGCCAGTCGTTTATGGTGTTTTGCGTATGACAGTGAGCAAGAAGGCGACATCTTATTTCACGGTCCTTGCCGCCGCTCTCTGTTACTTGATCATCATTTCCTGCTACACCTTGATCGTAATAAAAGTTTGGAACCGTGACACGGAAACGCTGAAAGGTTCAGTACGCAGTCCCGGAAGACAGAGTGGGTCAAAGTTGGTTGAACGTCGCGTGACAGTCACGGTGGCCATTGTTGTTGTAGTTTTCACTATTTGCTGGATTCCACTGATGTACCTTCGTGCTGCATACGCCAAGAGTAATGTTGGTGTGGCATACAACTGGGCAAGAACGCTGGCTTTGAGCAATTCAGCGATGAATCCGTGGATTTATTGTTTTCGCATGGGAGAATTTCGTGCCGCGTACAAAAAATTGCTGAGGTGTAGCATGGGTCTTTTCAAGCGTGACACAAGCGACCAATACGATGTCAACAGCAGGGTTCAGTGATTGAGTCACAACATGGAATGATCGTAACGCAGGGCCTCTGCTAGAAGAGTTGTGTGACTGCCTAAAGAGAGTTCAATATGCACAATTTATAAAGTTATGGACCTCAAAACTGCCTAATTTGCCAAGTTTGGAAGACTGCAATTTTAAATGTGAATGTAGATTTTTCCGGCTCAGGCTGAATATTATCCTTATTTTTTTGCCGATTTTATGCTGAAACAGGAGCCATAATCGGGGACGGAGA